AGGTGTTCTCAGAGTTTAAGTCGCTTGTTACGTTTAACTATAGAGAAAACAGACTACGGAACATTTTTCTTGCAAACTTAAAACAACTTGTCCGGAGCGACAAAACAATTTTGTGTAATTTATTTAGAAGAACATAAAGTTTTCACCTCGTCTATGCGGCAAAAAATTAGCTTTCGTTGCATGGTCATTCACATTCGGAATTCCGATCCGTTATAGCCGAGGAATATAAGACTTTTTCTGCAAAAAACGCAACTGACGTTATTCACCATAAAAAGCGTAATATTCCTGGGCTATTCCAAATCGAAACCCCGAACGTGTGGGTTGCCTAAAATTGTGGCGTCCTGCTTAATACCAAATATTATCTGTACTATTTCTGTGTTACTGAACCTTCAGATTGACAAATTGTACATTTTTATCATAAGACTGCGAAACTGCCATTGCAACTTCTACTTGAAACCTTCCTGTCATATTGTGCAAAATAATTTTGAATTTATGAAAACCTTATATAAAGCAAGTGTTCATAATAGAGCTTATGAGATGATGAAAATGATCCCCTAGCTAAGTCCTGTAAAGCTAGATAGATTTTGTTAAAACGTTGACTATCACGGAATTAAAGTTAGTAATATTTTTTTGCAACGTCATTTTAAATAGTTTGAAAGCACTGTTGATCTTCGAATCAGTTTTCCAAGTACAAAGTTACTGTGGTGAAAAAATATAACATTACGACAATATATAGAACTTTGGATTTCTTTATTTTTCTTTTGTATCGTTGTAAGAGTAGACAATGACTTCCAAAAAATTTCAGTTGCTGCTCGAACAATTCAAAGAAAAATATATATTTCATTATTTTTATTATGCACAAAATGCGCTAAGTTAATGTTTAAAATAATTTTTCCCACCACTGTAACAAATATTGTCTATAGGTTTGGGTTTGACAAAGTGCCTTATTTTTCGATAATCGAAATTTGATTATTGTATAACGTATTAGTACTGTTAAGGTGAATAACTAAAATGTGATAATTTTTAATTATTTTTCGTCCAATATTTTTACTTTCGCTGACACCAGAATAACGCATCATATTTAATACCAGTTATAGGAAGTACTTTATTTTCTTATGCATTTATTTTTTTATGAAATGCCATTGTTTTTCATTATCATGATCTCTAGACAACCTTGAAAAATTCTTAGGATTTTTGTATTTCTGATCGTACTTTTTCAAACATATACAAAGAACTTAGTATTACTAGTCAAGCACACCTGTTTGTATTATTTTATTAACATTTTGTTGGAAATGTAAACTTAACTAACAATACTATAATTTTATTTTTTTTAATGAAAAAATAACAGTATTCTTTAGTGAAGTGGCACTTAAAAAAATCATGCTTCGTAGACACGTTTACGAAGTTTTTCACTTAATTATAATACACATCACAAATATATGACGGAACTTTTCACTATACAGGGTGTTCTAAAAATAGACGCAGATATTTTATAGGGTGATTCTTTGTTAAAAAATATGAAAAATGTTTCTATAAACATGGGTCCGGAAATGCAAAGTTTTCAAGATACATGGTGATGAATTTAATTTTTTTTTATTTTCTTAAAAAATATTTACTCGATTTTGTTGAAATTTGGCAATACCAATTTTGTCAAGTGACATGCATTAAAACGTTTTTTATTTTTTTTTTCACGAAAACTAAGTGAGATACGAAAAAATACAAGAAGCAAAGAAGTTGTATTCTGAGATGCTTAATCAAACGACAAATATTAAAGTTACAAAAAAGGCAGTGGCGTACTTTTTTTTTGCCAATAATATTCGCTGAGATGCACCCCAGGACGCCACTGGACCCAGTAATTTTAATCTATTTAGGGATAAATTAGCCTCTTAATACAACAAATAATATTGCCAAATTTCAACAGAATCGAGTAAATTAATAATAAAAAAATTATCACCCTGTATCTTGAAAACTGTGCATTTCCGGTCCTATGTTTATAGAAACTTTTTTACATATTTTTTAACAAGGAATCTCCTTCTAAAATATCCGAATATCCGTCTATTTTTCGAACACCCTGTATGATTCATCACTAGTATTATTCCAAACATACTATTTTTTTAAGTGTCACTTAGAACTAACCCTTATTTTATTTATTCTTTTTTCTATGTATCTTTGCATGTTTGGTATATGCAATGTGTCGAATAATATTACTTCAGTAGGCAATACCAAAAAATGCATGCCGTACAAAACATAAAACTGCAAATATACGCTTTAGAATGTGTATTAAAATTGAACATTAATTTGCTGTTTGTATATGCCCTTAAGAATTGGGAGATGTAAAAGCAATTTTTCAAAAAAATACGCCTGAGGAAAAATATCACTTTTTTTAAAATACATTAGGTCTTTGACTTTGGGTGAAAACTTTACCGAAAATGTAATAATGTGCCAGATCTCCCAATGCTTTTGGGATATTCGATATTACGTAATATTTACCGTACATACATTAATACAGTCATGATGCATTTTGAAAAGACGAAAAGGACTCCGCACAAATCATGTGGAAAATGGATTCCAGTCTGTCTAAAAATTCAGCAGTATAATATGTTTCTCACCTTTCTGAACAAAAATTGCTGCGAGACCATAGCAATCCTATGATTAGTTTCTGAAAAATAGGGGGTGAAGTTAGACAATTTTCGAAAATGGTGAATGTGAACACAAAATCTATTTTATTCCTCCAGAATTCAAGTATTTACCGAATCTAGGAGACTTTTATAAAATAGCTGGTGTTCTTGTTAATAGATATCCTCCAATTACTATTTATAGTCGCTGCTAAGGCTTGATTAGTGCTTCAGCAGTTAAGAACAGCGCAAGATCAAAACGTCGGTCTAGCGTTAGATGAAGAACCAGATATCCACACAAGGAATTTACTTACGTTTTAGAAACCGAATCAAGTATAAACTATGGATATAACTATCGTCATGTTTATGAAACTCATTAGGATTTACTTGATCATGCAATAGTTATTATTGGGCATACTCTAGGTATACGAGGTCTCTTTTATTCGCTCTCCACACGAGATCGGAAATCATTATCTTTCGAAAAGTTTTCCCAAACCATACCAGTTGCAGACCAAAACAAGAAAACTCAAATTAGTCGTCAGTAAATTACAATACTCTAAGCTGTGTTCACATTAGTCTGCTTTTCCTTTCTCTTTCGCCTTCAAAATCAATATGACTTAGAATTGACCTTGAAAAGGTTATAATCAAAGACAATCCGAAAACGACGGTCCTCATGAGTGATTTTTTTTAATTCTCGAATAACTCGTGTCAGATCCATATCTGTGTGAAAGTATAAAATTAATCTTGCCCTTGAATTGACCTTGTAAGGATCATGGCTAAGATCCTAAAATTATTTTAAATGAAATCATCTGTTTTGCAAATTGGTCAAACTTCCTCTCCCAATTTCTCATAAACTAAAATTACTTTTGTTCAGCAAAGCGAGAAATATAACATGCTCACTTTTCAGACATTTTTTTTACTTTTCGGACGTTGACTGTATCCATTGATTACAGTATTCTACCTGAAGCTCACCCATATACTGTATTTCGGCGTCTAAAAAAGGGATCTGGAAGATACTATCGCCATATATGAAAAGGTAGCAAAAATGAATTCAGAAATCCACCTTGAAAATACTGGAGAGGGATTCTGCTATTGTCTCCTAGATGACCCTAGTATCTTTCAGATCCTTTTTGAATGTCGGAATGTGATTGGCTATCGGGATACGTTAATGAATGCTGTATAACAACGCATATCTTGGTTGTGAAACATTGGCTGCTGCATAGTTGTACTAATTCTGTTTTATAGAAAAGTTGAGGATAGTATTGAAGTTGTACATAATTTTATTTATTAGTAAATTTAAATTAACTCCTTTATGTTTTCTTGTACATAGTAACTCGAATGTTTAAAAATGTGACCAAATTATCTATGAAGTTTAGACAGTTTTTGTTTTTTGTATGCCGTTTTTGCAATAAAATTTGTTTATAATGCATGGACGTTTGATTGGCTATCTAAACAAAATAGGAATTCATTAGATAATAATTTCCAATAACAAATTGAAATTTCCACTTAGTCATTGAAAGCTATTTTCTCACAGCATTCCTGTTAAACTTTCATTTATTATTTATGAATTCCTGTTTTGGCGTGCAACCCTATTTCTTTTCTATCGGTGGTGGTTTTTCCTTTAACAGTTTACATTTCCAACAAAACAAAATAAATTATGTTAATTTTCGTAACAAAGAGCTAGCAACGTTTATATATGATTTTGTCAGCAGCTATCTGTCATCTTGGAGATTCAGTCTGAGAAAGACTTAAAATTTTGCCAGTTTTGGCCTAACAAACAAGGTAAAAAGTGGCTTTAAAATGACCTAATCCTAAAATACTCTTCGTGGGCTTTAAGGCTCTAACTTTAATTTAGATATTTCACTGCTTCAAAAATTATAATTTTTAACATAGTTCCCAGTTCAATTTTTTTAATTAGGGGAAAGGTCCCTATATTGGACCACCTAACAATAATCGCGTGTAAAATCGAAATACGTCACTTAATTCACTTAATAAAAATTGATGTAATTCTTGGGACTATTATCAAACTTTTACTTCTGTAGAAATAATTCTAGGTTTATTAGTCTTATAAAAAATTAAAAAAAGAAAATGACGTCATTTGGTCCAATTTAAGATACCGGTCTCCTAATTTGAACCACCGGTACCCTAAATTGAACCGTGAATCATTTTCTATTATTTGAAAAGAGAACATTTATTAAAATCATCCAAAGCTCGTACAAAAAATATAAACAGTTTTTTAAACACCAGTCACAAAAATCAAACGTTATTCTGAACACTGAAAACAACTATGTAGGAAAAGTGAGCTGTTTTAATGACAAGTTGATAATACTAAAAGAACTGAAACATTTTAATTTTAATGAAACTTCCTAAAACAGGAACATATAATTAGTCGCTATCTGATGATGATTCACAGTTGATACATTCATAGAAATTAACATTTTTTCCACTGATACATTTAAGATGCGACCATTTTTTACAAATCCTACATTGAATCCATTCTTCGCCTGGATTCGATTTAGAATATGGAAATAAACAAACAAGGCATAGACAATCTTCGTCCTCCGATTCAGATTCGCTTGACGTTCCATGTTGTAGACTTCGTCTCTTTGTAATAGGTCTCTTGTTATCGAGTTTGGACGACTTTCCTTTACTGGTAGCTTTTGCAGAAGAAAATACATTTCTGGTGGCTGAAGAAGCATCAATTTTTTTGAGTTGTTTTTTTTCAAGATCGTTCTTGTATGGACTATCTGTAATAATTGTAGTAGAAGACAAGGCCAGGTTACGCGATTTTCTTTTCAAAATGGGCACAGGTGATACTTCGGAAACAGATTTCCTTTTGGGCAGCTCACTACTTGATTTACCTTTTGTGTTTAGCAAACAGGATGTTGAAGTGGATGCAAGTGGATTGGAATAATCAATGTTAGTCAACTGTGAAGCGCTCTGAATCACTTCTTCGGTTATCTCCGAGTTTACTTGATTTTTAAACGAAGTGGTACTACTAGTACTGGTAGATAGACAAACGTATTCGCTATCATCAAACACATTTGGGTCCAACGGCCATATTCCACATTTGGCAAATCCACTTAGAGCATTCCCAACAGATGCTGCTTTAGCATATGCTTCCCCAAGAAGCGCCGATACCTGAAACTGGGTTATATTTTGGCTTGGATTTGTACGAAGCCATTTATCAGCTGCTTGATTGTAATACGAGTTTAGGGGCTTGAAAAAAGAGACGTCACAGGGTTGCAGTCGATGTGTTGTGTGAGATGGTAGGGACAGCATTACAATTCCATGCTTTCTGGCAAGTAAAATGGCCTCTAGGTTTTTTGTGTGAGTGGTGTGCCCATCCAGTATTAAGAGAACTTTCCTATCAGTAGATGGTTTCGCAAAACTAATAAAATGTTGCAACCATTTAACAAACAGCTCACTAGTTATCCAACCTGACTCTGAACATGCAAATTCTGTTCCTGGAGGGGCGCCTGCCTTCAGTTCATCTTTAAATCTAATGCGCTTGAAAATAAGCATTGGCGGTACGTAATTGCCAGCAGCGTTCAAACAACAGACACATGTCGTATTTACACCTCGCTCTCCGCTCGTAAGTGCTCCTATTTGATGTTTTCCTTTCTGTGCAATAATTTTTTGAGGCCTCTAAACCGTAGAGAGGCCAGTCTCGTCTACATTATAAATGCAAGATGGACTGAAATTGTACTCATTATAGAGAGAAGTAAGGCAATCAAAAAAAGCCTTGACTTTTTCTTTGTTGAAACCTGTAGCCCGCGCTGCTGAAGTAGGCTCTGGTTGTCGAAGAGATAGCTCTTTATGCCTGGACATAAAGCAGTAATACCATTTCTTGCCGGCTTTACCGTTTTTAAATCTATGTAAAATCCCATTAGCTTCGGCGACATCATAGGCAAGTTTTCGCAAATCATTGCGAGTGATTCCAAACAAGCTTCTTTCTAGCTCCAATACATGGTTAACTATTTCATTTTCAATTTCTAGGGGAAGATCCGTAGAACGTCCGAATTTTTTTTCGCATCCATGCACATTTTTGTTTGTATCGTCAATTCTACGTTTCAGAGTAGCTTTAGGAACTTTATATCTCCTAGCGATTTCATTTAAACCGGCAACATTATTTTCATAGGCATTAAGGGCTTCTTGCATGCTCGTCTCGCTCCACTTTCCATACTTTCCCCGTTGAGACATAGTATTCAACTGAAAAAAAAAGGTTGCTTAAATTGGACCGGTTCAAATTAAGAAACTTCATGTGGTCCAATTTAGGAAATCATAACCTCATTTCAATTTTTGGCTCTAAAAAAGTTGTTTTCACTTAAAATCAAATTAACTGCTTAATGACTGTTCAGGAAAATGATGGCTAAATATATATAAACTGACGGATATACAAAACAACTTACCAGTTAAAAACTACAGCTTAAGAAATTCACTTGAAAAATTACATCAGCCGGCATAAAACTTAACAACATGTGATACCTTCGATATTACTAGCAACACAGGTTTCTTTTTCCACATACAGACTGGACTACGCGTAAGCTATGATTGATAGGCCATAGATGGCGCCTCGAATTACCGTTTGTGAATTACAGATGTGGTCCAATTTAAGAGACGGTCCAACTTAGGGACCTTTCCCCTAATTACCATGTTTTTCGCCCAGATTAATTTTTCTGGATTATTCTGAACAAAGAAGGTCTCTGAGAAGTTTTCTCTAGCATTTCCGAGCTATTAGCGACTTAATTTCTAAAAACCCTAGAATGGGCATATTGATTGCTTAAAACTGGCTTAAAGTTTCAGCCTTGCTCTATAAGACCCCGAAGAGTGTTTTGAGACTAGTTTATTTTAATGCGATTTTATAAGCGAGGCCCTGGCAATAACTCGATTTTTAAGTTGACATTTGCACAGTTAAATATTTACTTCAGAACATACCTTACCTTCTGACAACATGTTCCTTTTTATTTTAGAACTTTGTTTTTAAAAAATTCAATGTTCGCATTTATGATATTTTTCTCCAAAATTTTCTTTTTCTTGTTTTTATTGTGTGTACAGTGAATTATCACTTTCATGTTTATGTTCTGTGTTTTAGTGTGTTTCATTATAGATTTGTAGTAGAAACTGTTATGCTCGCTTAAAAATACTATGTTGAATATTTTAAATTGAGCAAAAATTTCAAAAAACAATCAAATAAGAAAAAAAAAAGAAAAATGTAAGTTTAAAATATAGAGATTCCTAAATATTAAATGTATCTGCAACATGTTGCGCAGCAAGTGGCACGGACAAAATGCGCCAGGTGGCTGTGGCACTTTTATACGAACAAAATGTTGCAGATACCGCAATAAATGTCTCGGTGCACTGCCAGGTGCTTTTCCATTTACATATATTAGAATGATGACAAAAGGATGACAAAATTCCTGTTGCCAGCTCTTAGTGTCATATAATGTAGTTTCAGTTTAAGGCAGGTATATTTTTATTAATTGTATCGTATTACTCATTCTTTATCAACCACCACCTGACCGCCCACATGATAAAGGTAAGTAAAACAAACTGTGAATCAGTGACAAAGAAGTCTTCGTTTTCATTTAGTGCATAAACAAATATTAGAATATGTGCCCCCTTTTCATAAACGAGTCTAAATAGAGATGACATATCAGTGCTGTTACACCTTTCAAAACTTATAATTCGAACTGATTTTTTTAAAAATATCGTGTAAATTGTCCCGTTTATTTTCAATTACAGAGTGTTTGAGAGAAAATTTAGGATGTTGCATATCTCACCGTCCCGGACAAATGTCTCAGTTTGGTCCAGCTCCTAAATCCTAAGGATTGTGAGATAAAGATAGTTGAAGCTGAACTATCTTAGATTATAAAGTTGTTATAGTTTTTTTATGGTCGACTAAAAATTAACTATATCTGGATAAAGTAAATTATTACAACGCTTTTCTTATTTAGGATAATAATTTTATAGCCGTTCTTAAAAACATCGAATTTCATTTTTATAACAAAACACTGCTCTCAGTCTGGTAATTTTGTGGTAGAAAATCGTGCTCTATTCTCCATCTCGTTGGAGGTAATTTTTATGATTTCTCTGGACAGTAAATACGAGAGCTGAATTTATTTGTCTGCGGCCCACTGCCCAATCTTGTGAATAGTTTTTGTTAGAAATCGGCCCTTTTTGATTCTTAGTGTATTAACCCGTTTCTTAGTCTTTTGGGGATTTAACCGTCCAGATAATTACACTCAACCATCGAGCGGATGGAAACCGCCAACAGGGTTAGTCCAAGGCGAGTTTGAGTGGGACTCACACCTGGGAGGAGCAGTTCCCCATTTTTGGAGAACCCTCATTGTTAGAGGGTTGTACCCTCCCGTTTTATCCTCCGGCTTCGGGGTAACATCTGGGACTTCCTACCAACGGTAGCCGTTCGGAGATAGCCAAGTTTTTTTTAATTTTAGTTTTTTTGATAACCATTTAGCTAGGGGGGTAATACATGAATTCATTTGTGTTAGCCTGTCCTCCAGGATTTCTCCTTAATTTTTTGTATTTTAATTTTATTTATTTTTTTTTGTTCAATAAATGACTGTACCTTGTGAGTTGGTATCTCTTTTAACGCGAGAATCCCAACAGTGATACTAGTTATTAATTTCATTTTCTAGTTTTTGGAAACTAAGTAGCGCCCAAATAACCATTGGATCCAAAAACCAAAGAACCAACAACCTCCTACCCTGAGAAGGCTCATAGCTACCAATTGAGCAGTTTATTCGGGATAACAAAGTACATAGCACATTCGCCTTTTTTTAAGGTCAAGTACACCGTCGACCAGAGATGATCGGAAACTCGAAAAAGATACAAACACTACTAGGTTCATCAATTATTTTGACACAAAACGACTAAAATAACCTATTACCCAACATTGAAATATTTCCACGATAATGATAAATGATAATAGGCACATTTACGATACGCCACTTATGTCAGATTTCCGATGTACCTAATTTATTTTGCGATTTCATTTTGAGGAATGAATTCTAAAATTTTACAGGATGCCAAAACATTTGTGACAGAAGCATATTAGCATTGATTAGCGTATTCTCCAAGATGTCAAACCAGATGCTATATTTGGACGTTCACGCACAATTTCCATCGTAACAGCCATATTACCAAGCAGCATATGGTCTTAACATTTTGTAAAATCTAAGAATTTTTTGCTAAAAATTGAATTGCAACATAAATCAGCCACTCCGGAAAACTGATATAACTGGTTGATGGCACCGTCGAATCGTGAATGTGCATATTATCATTTATCATGATCGCAGAAATATCCCAATGCCAGGTAGTAGGTTATTTAGGTCGTTTTGTATCTTAAAAATTGATGTAAAGATACTTCTGAACCTCGTTTTGTATATTTTTCGAGTTTCCGATCGTATCTCTGGTAGACGGTGTACTTGACTTCAAAACAAAATGAATGTGTTATGTACTTTATAATCTGAGATAATTAAATTCGACCATTTTTATCGGACAACCCTTAGGGTTTAGGACGTTGTGCCCATTGAGACATTGTTCAGGTCGGAGATATATCGAGCATATCAGAAATTCAACCAATTTTACGTAAGTCCGATGTACATAAGGAAAGTTCGTGGTTCTGTAAAGAAAACTACATATACATGATGTTAGGAAAATAATAGTCGTAACATTAAGTGGTGATTCATTACATTATTCTAAGCAAAAAAGTTCATTATAACTTATGTGCGAAAATCAATCGTTTTTGAGAAAAGTTAGTCGTAAATAATTAAATTTTCTCAAACATTTGGCAACGCTGCAACGCAACCGCGATATGAGCGCACGACGACCGCAACTGATTCATCTAATTGTTTACGTTTGTATGATATTTTTCTTGAAAATATGCATTGAATTACTGAACACTTTTACACAATTTTTTGTGACTAATATTTTTTATTCAATAACGCTTTCAGTACAGTACATTTACTTAAAAAAATGGAAAAACTTACCCTACGTGGCGATACACACCATCAATTCCTACGATTATCAGTCACTTATTTGAAACGATGCGATGCACGAAAAAAGAAAAACCCAACATCCGTAAATCACATAAAATTAAAGTTAAATGTATTAGTAATAACAACACGCGATGATACATGCAGTGTAAGCGGAGTACGACGTTGCCAGTTGTGTGAGAGATTTTGTTTGTCTGGTATTCTTCGAAAAATTGTATTTATCTAGCATGAACACTATTTTGTTAGAGACAGTGAATTAATAAATAGATGTATTGATACATTTTACGCTATTAGGCATGTGAATTTAAATTATTAAGGTGCAAAATTAATTTATTTCGTGCTCCGAAACGGTTGATTTTCGGACATAGGTGATAATGAACTTTTTTGCTTAGAATAATGTAAGGAATCAAGTTTAAGTATTTCCCTAACACCCTGTATATACTAGAATATCTTATTGAAAATGAAGCACCAATTGCGCATATCTTATTTTTTATAAATACCGTAGGTGTTGCATTTTTCGTTATACACACTCATTGTATCCGCTTATCGCATTTTGCATAGGACGCTAAACAGGTCAAGTAACAACATTTTTACTTCCTATGCCAGTGGGCGAGGGAGTATTATAATCGCGAAAAATTCCGAAGATGAGTGTTTTTATTTATGTTATATGACATGTTCATTACGAAAAATCTTGTCACTCATTTCTGTCTCTCCGTCTGCCTGTCTGTCAGTCTGTCTATTGGTCTATCTGCCGGTCTGTCTCCACGCTATTCCTTGGCCCATGTATAACTTGAGAAGTACAGCTCGGAATTTAATGAATTGTTTTTGATTATCGGTCCAATGGCGGTGGAGCTACAATCAAAAACACGAAAAAAGTGAAAATCATTCAAACCTCGTTTTTTGACGTTTCAGTGACTCTTGATCATGTTCAGGAAAATTTTTGTAAGTGTTGAAAATTGGGGGGGGGGGGCTGTAACGGATAGGCGAGAGTATATATTTTTTTGCGGCATTATATTTACACGCTTCCAACTCTGGTAATGTTACCCACTTCTGAGTACATATTTCACATATATATTTCCACTTAAAACTTCTGAGAAACATTAATAGACGCGACACGCGGTCGGTCGGGACGACTGTCGGCAACCTTCAGACGCTGAGCACTGTCTGGTCTGACTGCGTCGCCTG